GTCTCAAAAAAAAAAAAAAAAAGAAAAAAAAAAGACTTATAAAAGTGAATTGGCTATATTGAATTTTTTTTTTCCAATAGAAAAAACCAATCTGAAACTGTCAATCTAGAGCAGATTTATAGAGATCAAATCCAGTTCAACCTCTGCCATGTTCTGGCCACAATGAGCCCAGTGTGGGGATATTCATTTAGGGGCCAAAGCCATTGAGCCGGTATAGTCCTAGGTCACTCCCGGGTTCTCAGGTGTTTCATTTTGCCCTCTAGGCCTCAGTCTTCCTATCTGTGCAGTGGGGATGGGGCCTCTAAGGAGGTCTGAGCCCTCCCAGCTGCAGTGCTATAGAACTTCCCAAGGATCTTTGTTTGGCCAGACCTCAGGGATTAGCTCCAACTCCTCCTCTGCTTCCTCCAGACCATGTCTGTCCCAGAGAGCCACCCCTAAGAGTCCTCCCTCAGTCCTGTCCTCTCTGGCCCCAGCTCCTCATTTGGCAACTCTTCCATGCCTGCTGTATACCAGGATGTCCAGAACAGAGCTCAGCCCCCCAAATCTGCCCTTCATCTCTTCCAGGGATGCCCGACACCCCCACTGCCCATACCTACCCAAAATCCAATCAAGAACTGGGAGCATTCGGGACCCTCTCCTCGCCACCACGCTCACCCCAGGCCTCTCCACAGGCTTCTCTCTCCATATTCTGGCCTCTCCTCCCCACCCCCGTACATTCTCCTCACTGCATCTCACACCCCTCACCTCCCTGCTTGCAACTCTCCATGGCTCCCTGTTCAATGTAAAAGTTGACCTAATTGAAAACCGCCTTGCAGGCCCTCTCTGATGGGCCCCTCCTCTCTCTGCTCCCCCAGCACTGCCCCAGCATTTCCTTCCTTTCCTCCCAGAGGGAAGATGCAGCTTCTGAGACGGCTGCTGGCACGCCGGCCCCTGGGCCTTGGCCCATGCCATTTCCTCTGCCTGGAGTGTCTCTCTCCTCCCGGCCATGCAGTCTGCTCTCACTCATCCTTCAAGGCTCAAAATGCACCTTGGCTTGGACACTTCCCCTGATTTCTGACTTCCCAGTTAACTCTGCCCTTGTACTGTTTGGCACCTGGACCCCCAACCTATCTCCCTAGATGTCTTGGGAGATAGAACACTTCCCCTGGGTGAGGCATACCCATTCTTCAGGGTCTCCTCTTCCGGGAAGCCTTCCCTGACCTCCCAGAATGGGTTGGGGGCTTCCTCTGGGCTCCTCCAGCTCTCTGGATTACTGCCATTAAAGTACACAGCACATTAGCAAACAACACCTAGCCATGGGCCAGGCTTCCCCATCAGACCGGGCGGTCCTCAAGGTAGTGAACTGGGCCTGGTTTGTCTCGGTGGACCCTCCTGTCCAGAGAAACCCTGAGTTGTTGGTTGGTTGAAAATTGGAATGCCTCGCCCTGGGTAGAATGCTCCCGCCCTAGTCCCTCCAACTAGCTGCCTGCAGCTGCAGCCCCGCGATGGGCTACAGCCTCCAGCAAGAAACTAGCTGCAGCTGGGAGGCCCTGCTGCTCCTTCCCTGAGTTAGGTGGGTCCCAGCCCCTCAGCCCTACTGGGCCTTGCTACCTGTGAATCGGCTTTTCAGCCAAAAGGCAGTTGAGTTCAGCAGTTGGGTGCTGGGTGGGTGCTGAATGGGTGCTGGGGCCAGGCTGGGAGAGGACAGGAACGGGGGTGGAGGGTCAAGGGCAACCCAGGGAGTGGGCTCGCAGGGATGAGGGAGGGGTGCCTCCTCTTGCTTACCGGGCTTTTCAGATTCAGGGGACCTGGATGGTCCTGCTGTGGAAGTCGAGGAGGGTGAGCTGTTGCTGGTGACGCTCCCAGGAGCCATGAGACTGGCCGGTACAGCTGGCAGACCCCTCACCCGGGTGTGAGGCTGTCGAGCCTGACCGCTAGGCTTATATACCAGCAGCCCGCCCCCACCACTCCAATCAGCTCTGATTGGCTGGGAGCGCTCCGAGCTGCTGATTGGGGCTGGAGGCGTGGGATGGGGTACAGCAGCCCTGCCCTCTGCAGGGAGCCCCAGCTAGACCACCCACTCCAGTGTAAGCTTGGGGGTGTCACTTGACCTCTCTGGGTCTCAGTCCCCATGGTGCAATGATGGGGCTGAGATGCTTGATCCCGCCTGTGCCCGCTGCCCACTAGGGGCTGTAGATGCTAATGAGGAATTGGGGTCACCTGTGTTGGCAGGGAGGCCGCTGAGGCAGCCCTCTAATCCCACGAGGTGGGCAATGGGCTGCCCCACATCACTGCTGGCCTCAGTTTCTCAAAAAGTAGCAGTTGGAGGCAGCCCAACTGCTACTTTTGCCCAGAGCACATACCCCTAGGTCAGGCAGCAGCCCCTTCTGAGGCCAGCCAGGCTCTCTGGGTCTGTGCCCTCCTTTGGTTTTATTTTTTAAGAAAGGAAGCAATAAGGGAGGATGCTTCACAGAAGTCTTCACAGATAAAAACAACATCCACTTGAGCAATGGACAAAGAATGTCAGCAGGCAATTCACCAGCCTAAAGGCTGAGGAACAGGAAAATAGACACAACCTCCTTGGCATTTGAGAAAATTCAAACTGAATGGTGAAATACTACTTTTTCCCATCAAATTGACAAAAAAAAAAAAAATTCCAAGCGAACACTCAGAGCCTGGTTAAATCACGCCCTATCTGTAGAATATTCTGCAGCTGTCTAAAATAACAAGGTGGGCCAGGCATGGTGGCTCACGCCTGTAATCCCAGTACTTTGGGCAGCCAAGGTTAGGGGGATCACCTGAGGTCAGGAGTTTGAGACCAGCCTGGTCAACATGGTGAAACTTCATCTCTACTAAAAACACAAAATTAGCTGGGCATAGTGGTGCACACCTGTAGTCCCAGCTGCTCAGGAAGCTGAGGCAGGAGAATTACTTGAACCTGGGAGGTGGAGACTGCAGTGAGCCAGGATTCTGCCATTGCACTTCAGCCTGGGCAACAAGAATGAAACTGCATCTCAAAAATAAATAAATAAAAATAAAATGAAATGAAATGACAAGGTGGATTAAAACAAGGATGAGGGGTCAGGTGTGGTGGCTCACACCTGTAATCCCAGCACTTTGGGAGGCTGAGGCAAGAGGATCGCTTGAGCCCAGGAGTTCAAGACCAGCCTAGGCAAAAAAGTAGAATCCCGTCTCTACCAAAAAATATAAACATTAGCTGGGCATGGTGGTGTGTGCCTGTGGTCCCAGCTACCTGGGAGGCTGAGGCAGGAGGATTGGTTGAGGCCGGGAGGTCTGGGATGAGGGAGCTGTGATCACACCACTGCACTCTATCCTGGGCTACAGAGTAAGACCCCATCTCAAAATAAAAAAAAAAAAAGGAAAGAAAAGAAAAAAAAAAACAAGGATGAGGCTGTATTTCACACTCAGCAAAATGACAAAGATGTAAATATCTGTCAATACTGAGTGACTGGAATTTGAAGAAAGCATAGCTGCTGAGGGGTGGGGATCAAGCTGGTAGCTGCCTTAGGAAGCAATTCAGCAATGTTTCATTACAACTAAGGAGGGACTCACTCCACTCTAGGTGTAAATCTGAGACAAACATGCAAAGATGTTCATTTCATTCTTAGCAGAAATTCAGAACAACATAAATGCCCATCAGGTGGAGAGTGGACAGTAAACTGTGGCCTGTTTGCACAGTGGAACAGTACACAGCCATGAAAAGGAGTGAGCCAGAATGTATCGGAAAGTATGGCCCCATTACTGAGAAGACAAAACTCTGTGTGTGTGTGTGTGTGTGTGTGTGTGTGTGAGAGAGAGAGAGAGAGAGAGAGAGAGAGAGCGCACAACAGTTCTTTTTAATTTTTAAAACTTTTTTTGTTTTTTTCTTTTACCAATACAAGCAGTAGAAAAACGTTCTGAGTGGATTCATACCAAGGTAATAGTAGAAGTGGTTACCTCTGAGGAAGGGATGGGTTTAAACAGACATGCATTCTTCTCTAGGGAATCTCTTTATTCTAGAATTTTCCCAGAGGACTCTCCATCACCAGAGATCTGGACTCCGGGAAGCTGTGGCCATCAAGATGTTCTAAAGTGAAATCAGATCTCACTCCCCTGCCTACCACCCTTCATGGTTCTCCACTGCCCTTGGGTGAAAGTCCAAGCTCTTCAGTCTGATTTAAGCAGCCTCCTCCCCACTTGAATCCCACAATTCACCCACACTGTGGCTTCTGGAATGGGCCATGTGCTGATATCTGGCCCCTTTTGTCTCCTCTGTGTGTGTTGAATTGATGCAGAACTGCCCCCAATTTTTCACTCCTGCCCGTATCTATGCCCATCTGCAATTGCAACTTTGCAACACTCTCACATTTCTTGTTTGTTTGTTTGTTGTTTGAGATGGTTTCACTCTGTCGCCCAGGCTGGAGTGCAGTGGTGCAATCATAGCTCACTGCAGCCTTGACCTTCTGGGCTCAAGTGATCGCTCACCTCAGTCTTCCAAGTGGTTGGGAGGCATATGCCTCCCACTCAGGCATATGCCACTATGCCTGGCTAATTAAAAAAAAATATATATATATATATATTTATATATATACTATACGTATATATATGTGTGTGTGTGTGTGTATATATATATATATATATATACACATACAGTAGAAATGGAGACTGCTATGTTGCCCAGGCTGGCCCTGAACTCCTGGCCTCCCAAAATGTAGGGATTACAGGCATGAGCTACTGCGCCTGGCCCCTCCCACATTTCTTAAATCTGAGGGGATTCCTTAAATCTTATGACTTGCTTTGTCCAATGAAACGCGACAGAAGTGACAGTATGCCAGTCCCGTAGCCATGTGAACTGGCCCTAGCTAGCCTGCCAGATGCTGAGGCCCATGGCTGTCACCCCTGTTATCCTGCCATCCAAGGGCCAACCAGCCGGTCCCCAGCCAACCCTCCAGTTGACCACAGATGCTTGAATGAGCCCAGCCAAAATCGACCAAGCTTGGTTCAGCAGAACTGCCCAGCTGATCCACGGTCATGAACGATACGCCGTTTGTTGTTTTAAGCCATGAAGTATTGGGATTGTTTGTCTTGCAGTACAAACCAAGTGATACACTTGGCCTGGAAGTGCCTCTGTGCGCACTGCCCCCCTTCTCTGGACTCTTGCCCACTCATCTTTTGGCCTCAGTGTAGATGCCGCTTCTTCAGAAAAGCCTTCCCTGGACTCTAGAAGGTTAGGGGCCCCTCCTCTGTGCACTGCCAGGCCCAGCCTTGCTCCTGGGGAGCCTCAAGCTCTGAATCGCAGCTCTGCCTTCCATGTCTCCAGCCCTTGCGCTCTGGGGGAGGGGCAGGGCCATATCTGTCTTGTTCCTGGTTGTATCCCTGGTGCCCAGCCCAGCACCTGAGACACAGTCACTGCTCAACAATACCCATTGCTCTGATGCTTGGAGGTCCCGGAGCAGAGGGAGGCCTGAAAACCATCTTCTGGGACCGTTCTGGAGCAGGAGACGAAGCAAAGAGGCAAATGGAAGCTGGCATAAATGGGGGCAGCAATTTTGTTCACATTTATGAGACACTTCCAAGAATTGAGAAGTAGAGCAACACTCAGCGATAGAAACATTCCCACGAGCTTCATCTGAAACCCTGCTCCCGGCTGTGCCAGGATCGAGTTTTGCGTTCGAAGGGAAGAAGCTCTAAAATGTGCTGCGTGATCTAAAAATTCCTCTAGAGGATTGCCTTTTTACAGGGAAATGGTAATTCTGAGCACCAGGCTGTGCGGGGAGGACGGGCCGCCTGGTGAGCTTCTGTGATTTTTTTTACTGAGGCCTGCATGAAATGTAACTTCTGCCGAGAACTTTCTTGCAGTTATGAAACACTGAATGGGGTCGGCCTACATGTGAACTTTCCTACAGTTCTGAGGATAACAGTTCCAAACTTTTGGAAGAAGTTATAGGGTGTCTGTTTCAGCCCCTGTAACATCAGGACATTTTTGACTTTTCTTTCCTGACTTTGAGTCAATAAATGTATAAAGGGTGGGGTAGAAACAGTAACAGCTGCCACATTCGACGTCCATATAAATATTTTATATTCACTATTTTATTTATACATGGAGAAGCTGAAGTTCAGAGAGGACCTACAATTCGATCTTCCCTGACTTCCTGGGCTGCAGCCTGGAAACCCTTTGTGTTAGTAAAGAAATTGGCTATAGGCCAGGCACAGTGGCTCACGCCTGTAATCCCAGCACTTTGGGAGGCCGAAGCAGATGGATTACTTGAGCTCAGGAGTTGGAGATCCGCCTGGACAACATGGCAAAACCATGTCTCTATTAAAAATACAAAAAAATTAGCCAGGTGTGGTTGGTACATGCCTGTAATCCCAGCTACTTGGGAGGCTGAGGCAGGAAAACCACTTGAACCCAGGAAGTGGAGGTTGTAGTGAGCCGAGATCACACCACTGTACTCCAGCCTGGGCAATAGAGCAAGACTCTGTCTCAAAAAAAAGAAAAAAATTATTCTAAGAAGCAAGGAGAAGAACGAAAAGAAAAAACACCACCCAGACAAAAAACCGGAAAAAAAAAAAAATAGTCAGATTAAAAAAAAAAAAAAAAAAAAAAAAGGTACGGAGGTAGAAGAAAGAAAAGAAAGAAAAGGAAGAAAAGGAAGGAAGGAAGGACAGACGGATTGACTTGGCCTGAGGCCACATAGCTGGGAAGGGCACCCACTATCCCCTTAGGGGACACGTCAGGCTTTCAGGGGTGCACGTCCCCCTTGGTGTGACAGTGCTCTGTGGCCCTGAGGCAGGCCAGGTCACAGCCTAGAGACTTGCTCCTTCCAATTCATCTCTGAGTCCCCAGTGCATTCTGGCATGGACAGCTTGCTCAGGTTTGGGCGAATGGAGCTGCT